CAGGGGGAGGACGAGGTTGGGGAGGGCGCGTCCAGCCAAGGTGGAGGGAAGGCGGAGGGAGAACCTGTGGATGGAGGACCAGGTTTCAACCTTGGCAAGACGGTAGCCCCGGGGCCCGCGGGGTGGCCCGCGCGCGTAGCGCCGCCGGCGCCGCCGGCCGCGCCCCATGAGTCGGGCGCGGGCGACGCTGGTGATGGCGCCCCCTCGAGCAGGGAGAGCGCGAGCGTCGCCCCATCTACCACGTCGACCGGCACGGCCGATGTGGGCGGCGGCGAGGACGACCGCCGCCGCAGCAGCAGCCACGGTAGCGGCAGCAGCGGCGGCGACAGCAGCAGCGGCAGCGACAGCGAGACGGATCTCCCGGCGCTCCGTGGGCCAGAGGCCTGGCGGCTCGCCCGCTTCGAAACGCCGGCGGAACTCACCATCCGCCGCACCAGGGAGAACCCTCACCGAAACCCGAGGTACGAGTCGCCCCCGTCGCCGATAAGTGCCGAAGCCCTGCTCGCCTCGGTGGCGAGCCTGCCCGTCAGCAGCACGGAGGAGTGCACCAGCTGGATGCTCTCGGCGGTACTTCACGTGGTGGAAGGGCTAGAGGCGAGGGCGGTGCGAGAGTTGCTGTTCGAGCGCGCGGAGGAGGCCCACGCTGCGCGCCAAGAGGCGGAGGACTTCCTGCTGGGTACGGTGGACGTCATGCCCAACTCGCCAGACGCCTTCGAGACGGCGCTGACGTCCCACGAGCTAAGTGAATCCCCCGTTGGCTAGCATCCGAGTGATGTAGGACCCCCCCCCATTACCGTAGCCGGCGTTGCCAAGTCTGTGTACAGAGGGGGGTGGGAACAGGCCATGAGGGAAGAGTTGGAAGAGCACTTGGGCACGGGGACGTTATCATTCGTAGACGGCGCGCCAGAGGGGCGCAGGCCTGTAAGCTCAAAGTGGTGTTTTAGTTGGAAGACCAAGAACGAAGGGAAGATAGAAAGGTTCAGAGCGCGTCTGGTTGCTAGGGGGTTTTCGCAAACCCCGAACGTCGATTATTTCCATTCGTCTTCCCCTTGCCCATCATCCGCATCCATTAAACTAATGCTTGGGGTAGCAAACGAGAAGGGAATGAACCTCAATCACTGGGATGTGAAGCAGGCGTACACACACGCCACGCTAGACGAGGAGGTATTTCTGAGGCTCCACGCTGGGTGCGGGGACAAATCGCATAAGATTGTCAAGGCTGAGCGTGCGATTTACGGTCTGAAGAAGAGCGGTAGGCAGTGGGGGTGCCACGCTGCTGATACGCCAGTCGAGCACGGGTTCGAGCAGTGCAAGGCGGACCCGTGTGTTTTCCGCAAGATGGAAGACGAAGTCGTGGTGATGATTATCGTGATCTACATGGATGACATTTTGGTGGCTGGGTCTGACGAGGATTGCGAGGAGTTGCTTGCTTCTCTCAACAAAAATTTCCCACCAAAAATCTTGGAGAATGCGAATGGTTGGACGGGTGCGCCATTGAGAGAGATGTAGAGGCTGGGACTCTTGAAATCTCCCAAACCGCGTACATTGATAGCATGGTGAAACGCTTTTATGTACAATCGACCTCCGCATCCCTGCTTTCCCTGGTGTCGACCTAGGACCGAAGCGAGATGACGAGAAGGGAGGGGAGTGGCCGGTGAGTGAGGCCATCGGCAGCGTGATGTGGGTGTCAACCTTCTCGCGTCTAGACGTCTCGTTCGCCATGCATGCGGTAGCGCGCCACGCCCACTCCCCGGCGAAGAGGCACTGGGATGCCATCCACAAGATCCTCGGCTACTTGAAAGGGACGAGGGACCTCGGCATCACCTACCAACGGGGATCGGGTTTAGGGGTGGCCGTGTACGTAGACGCTTACTACGCCGACACGGAGGATAGGCGTTCGGTGTCAGGGTTGGCGACGACGGTTGGAGGTACCGTAGTCAGCCATGGTAGCAAGACACAGAGCATCGTGTCTTTGTCTTCGACGGAAGCCGAATACATAGCTGCCGAGAGGGCGTCAAGGAGGCGTTGTTGTTGCGTGCTGTGCTTTCGTTTGTTGCCCCAGAGACCAGTGGTAGCAGCATC